CTAGGTAGATATTGGCAGTATTAGTAGTATTATTGTCTAGCATTCTATTCTGAATAAGCTTGATAAGCTTGGTTCAGCTCCAGAAATTAATTGGACTAACCAAGGACATGATCAAGTAAAGAGAGTTTTTTTCTACTTTTGTTTAAGATTAAGATTACATTACTGTCTTTTGTCATCTTTTTCTTTTTTGGGGTGTGTGTGTTACACTGAATTTTGGTTTAATGTTGATATTTTCTAAAGCATTGTTTCAATATATCAGCATTATGCTGTGTTAGAATAATGTGGCGCATTAATGTGACACGTTAAGACTCTTTGTAACATTAAAACATCTCATTGTAACATTAAAATGTTACAGTAGGTTGCGTTCAGTTGTTCTCAGTTCTGTCTTGTTGCTGTGCAGTGTGTTGAGTTAGCTGTGCTGTCATGCGGTACATTTCATTCCACTGTATTGTGTTGCATTCATATTGTTGTGGTGAGGACCAGAGCCGCCACCTGCAAGCAGCAGTCCCTTCTCTTTATTGCTTTGACAAAGAGCTGCATGGACTGCATCCTAAAACATGTTTATTATGCCTAATGCTTTAGGGAGAGACAGGTGGCTTTAATAAACAGATTGTGCATAAAGATGAGGATAATACACCATAAACCCCCACTGTCTCGCTGCACGACAGTGTGTGTGTGCATCTTTTTTTTTCTTTCTGTAATGTACATGACCTTTCCATATGGGCAGCCTGGAGACATATCAAAGAAATATAATTTGAATACTCTACTACTGAGCTTTGTGATGCTTTCTAATTACCAACATCTGTCATAGGGATTTATTTGTTTTGTGTATCCTTGTGTATGTGTGTGTGTCTATACCTGCATGAATGTGAGCTGTCATGTACATACGCTGTAGAATTAGCCCTTTCATGTTGAACAGCAGATGCTGGTATGAGTGCAAGTTGCTCATACGGTTGGCTGTGCTGAGCTGAGTTCTGCCGGGGCTTTTGTATTTGGTTGTAAGACACAGTCTTTCACAGCCTTCGTGTAAGAGTACGCTTCGTCTGCGAGCAGCAGCTCTGTGGCTGTGGTGAATGTAGCATGAAGAGCATTAATCCTTCACCAGCGTAGATACAGTACGTCTGAGTGGCTGATGGGGATTTCATTTAGTGTATGCAAATAGTCTGTGGCAGGCACAATAAATTCTCGGCTGAGCTGTTTTCCTCCTCTCTATATCCTGCAAACTCGATACTGCAACCAATTAGAGTGTGTATTCAGCACTGTCAAAGCTTATTGTTGTGCCTGGTGTGGCCAGAGCATTGACCAAAACCTCATGTGCACCCAGAGTAGGTCTGCCTGCTGGTTACCACTCACTGTTCTACACTAGAGAAAGCATCGTGTGGTGTGAGCTCCTGTGAAAATTTCCAGCCCTCCAGCGTGGGCACACCTACTTCATCTTAACTTGGATTCATCCTGTAAATTTGACCAATGTTCTTTTCTTAAGTCATTTAGAGTTTGTAAACTGTAATCTCTGCTCTCTAAAAACTTCAGTCCTCTCCGTCTTGATGTTGTTAAGGAAATGTCTGAAATAACCGTGTCCCCTGAGCTGGTCCATGGGCTCAAGGTCGAAGGTTTATGGGAAATGGGGTTTGTTAAAAACAATGATATTAGATTCTTTTCTTCTTTTTTTTTAATTACCGCTCTTATCTAAACATACGAACTGAGCAAGGAAAGGCTTGAGAGAAAGGCTCTGTTCCGAGACAGGTTTATTCTTTTTATGAACAAATATCAGTGGGTTTTTGAATTAAGTTTTCTTACTTCTGGAACAGAACCCTGAAGTTTCACTTTGGCTCTCTACAGCAGAACATGACGTGTAATTTGACACCTGTTGCACACACTGGCTGCACTGGACAGACAGAAGTAGTCAAAGTCCAGTAGCTATGTGACCATCTGAGGATCAAATTTTAGTATGTGATAAAATTGCTGCTTTTCCGGAGTATAAACACAGGGGCGTAGGATGCCGGTGTGTCTGATGCTGTGCAGCGCAACAAAGTGATGCTGACGTGTGTTTGGCCATCAGTTGTGAGTGGGCTTACACAGAAAACAGTAGGTGAAATGCCCATTGGTGTTTTGCCTTTCAACATCCTAACTTACTATGTCAGCGTTAAGTCAGCTGAAAGTACAACTTAGACATATGGCAGTTTAGTCAAGTCTGATCATGTAGAGCTGAGTTTGATATGTCCTAAAATGCCTGAATTGAATTAAATGTTATTTTATTTGACGGGGACCGTGCAGTTTAACAGTTCCAATACAGAGCATGAAACTAATGTACTACACAGAGTTTACAGCTATTGTTCATTTTCAACTCTTGCCCCTGGTGGGGCTTTTACATACACAGCCTTATTAAAACCTACAGCTGATGTGAATATTGTTCAGTAAAAGTCAGACATACTGTATCAGCAAGGAAACAGGGAGGTGTGAAAATCAAGCTTTTTAGACCTGTTGACAGTCTCCACAGTTTCCTGTCTCGGTTAAGTGTGAATAAAGTAAGAGGACTTATTGACTGTGTTGCTCACAGTGTGAGAGCATGGCCAGAGTCACACTAACTAAAACATAAATTCCATTTTTGAAATTATTAGTTAGTTTTAGATTTTCTGTTTCCATGGTTTTGTTCATGCAACACCAGTGGCGTGCTGTCGGTGTTGTGTGGGTGTGATCGATGTCTGCAGGCAGCAGGTGCTGACAGGAGAGCGGACCTACTGTCGAAGGGACTTTGGTCTTTTTCTCTGTGAACAGCTCACATTTAGTGGGGATAAAGAGAGTTAAATGTCATGGCTTGATAAAAAAACTAGGGACAGACTTTTTGGCGCGCTGTTTCCTGTGCTATGCTGATAAAGAAAAGTAGGTGAAAATGAAAATCCGCCCTGTCTGCTCACGTTGGTTCCTTTTGGTTTGTTGAGACGGAAAAGTGAAAAAGAAGCTGACCGAGCAGATGCCTCATCCCTTTGGTGATTCTTCTGAATCCACTGAGGCTGTAACCGATGTGACTGAAGCTGCGATGCCAGTGTGCATGCAAGATGTAGGGGAGACCGGGGACGGTTGCAACGCAAATCAGGGACGGTTGAAACTCATTAAAAATGCATTAAATTTCACTAATTAATTTATGCTTAAGTAACTAATACACTGATAGTATTAGTTATTTATTTAATAATGTTTATCTAAGAGCAGTTGAGTTGTGTTTTTTATAGAACATAGACCTGCCTTGAGTCAAAATAGGCAGAATTAATATATTCTACTGCTATGAAAAATTCTCAAAATAACTGGTTTGTATTCTCTCATGTTAAAATTAGCAATTTTTGTTGCATCTGTTAAAAAAAAATTAGCAAAAAAATGTTGTAAAAACTGTTTTGATATGGCCACTTAGCTTGGAGGACAGTGGCCATGACAGAACATCATGTGCTATCTAGACACACTGAGCTTGACACATGCTAACTATGTCACTTTGAAGTCAACAAAACAATGATTCAAAATAAGTAAATTTTGATTTATTCATACAAAAGGTCAGGACAGTTTGGGAAAAAAATACAGCCCATGAAAAAAATTATTTTCATACCTCTTTTTTTAAATAAATGCAGCAGCAGATGTTGAATGTGCAGTATAAGTATCATCACTCTAGCATGTTTCTGATTGGAGGAAGAAGAGGAAGGAGGAAGAAGACTTGTTGCAGCCATCCCCAGTCTCTCCCACTCTTTGTATATAAAAGGAAGGGTGTGATAGATGACCTAATTTCTTCCCTCCGATTATAACTCGAGTAATTTGTTTGAGTTAATTATGGCAGACCAAAAACAATTTACCATACCTTAAAATATGTTTAAGGAATGAAAACAGACAATACAATGAGTTGATTAACAGTCAGAACCTGCAAATACATTATATCCACACACTTCATATGATCAGTGTTTATTTTGCACCCCATTACCCAGCAGCATGTGTCATACTGTGACAGAGAAGGTAACCTACACTGTAAATTTAAATAACTTGAAGAAATATCTATACTGAAGCATAGCAGTAAGCCTGCTGCTAACACTCCCCTCCCTGTCTGACCACAACAACATGAAATCTCAGTTTCTATTACAACAACTGAATGCTATTAACTTGAAGGTATAATTGAAGTAATTTGGAGGCCTGAAATATAAATATTTGTGTGCAACACAAATTATTTAAAATAGTTCACTGGATACCTGCTGGTCTCCTTAGTAACGTGAGGAAATAGAAGATATACCATATCTAGAGTTAGTAAAGGTATACATTGCATCTTGTAGTGTAATACAACACTGCAGCTCTGGCTGAAGACAGTCATCAGGAAACATGCTGTACGACATTAATTATGATTCAACTGAAGTGTGTTTTCCAAGCAAATGAGGTGTTTATTGTATGATTTTTTTTTAGATGGCAGGGTTATATATCAAAGTCCAAGTTTTTTAGTTTTTTATATTAACATGTTTTTCTTACTACTAAGTCTTGAGTGTTTGCCTCCAGGACAATTCTCAAATGTTAAATGCTGCTAATTTTATTGTGTAAAATTAACAGAAACGTAATTCACGTCAGCATATAGTTGATACTGCAGGTTGTGATATGGTTGGGACCATAAAATTGCTCAATACTGTGTCATGTTGTCAAATGTCACAGCTTTAACAAAATAATTTGAGAGGCAAACATGTTTTGTAATTCCAAACTGATGGAACTGCTCTGATACTAATAGAGAAAAAGACGTGCACGAATGTAAACCTGATGCAGTCTTGTTTACTGATGTTGTTGTGTTGAACCTTCTGCTTCTCATTGGTCTTAGTTTTTCCACAGAAAAATTAATTTGGTCCTGTTTTGTATGTTGTATCCACAACAGAACTAACAGGATTGTGAAACGCACACTTACACACATGCACACAAATTTACATTCCTACATTTGTACAACAAATTACATGTTAATAGTCGTTAACCGTGGCTTGCTCTTTGTCTTCCAGACATTGACGAGTGCAGTTTGCAGACACACACCTGCTGGAATGACAGTGTGTGTGTAAACCTCCCGGGAGGCTACGACTGTGTGTGCACATCTGGTCCGGGCTGCAGCGGCGACTGTCCTCAGGAAGAAGGAATCAGACGCAATGGAGAAGACTGGAAGCCCAGCTTTGACCGCTGCGCTATATGCTCCTGCAAGGTAGAGATGAGAAACGCTTGCATATAAATTCACTACACTTAGTCGTAATGGTTCTCACAACCTGGTGGAGGATCTTAACTTAGGGTTTTAGATCACAGCTATGATGAAAACTGTATCCCTCTTCCTGTGACTAAGCTGTTAATATATAGTCATAGGGAAGAGAATAAACTATCAAGGATATGTGTAACGAGTACGTATGGAGCATGTATTCTATAATGTTTGTGTAATGTAGTGTGCAATGGAGCACTGCCACTTTTCAGAGTATCACCTGATACACAAAGGTAGGACAAAACCAAGGGCAAGCACCAATACATAATATGCTAAATATTTATCATGCATTCGATATCCCAGAAAACCCATCAGCGGTGAGGAGCTAGCTCTCTGTGAGAACACTACATGCACAAAGATCAACACACGCACATGTAATTGACTGTCTGGGGGTTGAATTAGCTAACATCTGTTTGAATAGTTATGAAACAAGCACACAGAAAAATACCAGAAGAGTTTTCTGGTCATCCTGACGTCAAGAGAGCAAAATAATAAGAATCAAAGAGGAAAAAAAAAACCACCTCAGTGTTCCCATCTGTTTGTCATTAGCCTGCATTACATTCTGACAAATATTTGTGGCAGTTTAACAACTCATTTCTGTGCTCTGGAGTCAGAGTGGGACGCAGATTTTGATCAGATTTGTCTTTGCGAAGGTGAGGCTCAGTGAGTGAGATTAATGCAAAACAGACACAGACGCTTATTTGCAATAAAATGAGTTTACCACCAGGACGTCGCACATGAACCGCCCCTAGTAAATACCAGGGGTAAACTGAGGCAAAATCAATTATGCTTGTGTAGCATGACTTATGACATTTCACTTCAACACTTGTTAGTCAACGCAAGCAAATTACTTGGGTATGTTTTTACATCCAATTCAGTCACACATATCATGACAGATATTTTTCTTTTCTGTAAAAAACATATTTAATCTTTATTGTAAGTTGTGTTGCCAACATGTTTGTTCATTGACTTCCATTATTTACATCCTGCAGTGGCTTTCTCTGCATGATGCTTCCTCTGCGAGAAAATGACATGAACTAAACTTTGGTCCAGCTCACATGTGACATATTCATGGATCAAACGTTCACTGGAAGAGTTTCAGAGTCAGGGCCTTTTCAAGCCGTCTGTCCTTTAGCAGCCACTTTTCTTCTTTTCTTGTCACAGTATAGTTTAGAGTTGTTTGTTGACATTTTGAGTGTTTTACAAGCTTAATAAGTAAATGTCTGCAGCTCTTTTATGACGTGTTAACAGATACTTTTTGGCTGAACTCATTTAAGTCGGTGTATGCAGAGCGCTATCTTCATTTTGTATCTCTAGTATTCTTTCTCATGCTTCACAGACTTTGTTGGAGAGGAGACACAAACAAACAAGAGAAACTCACTTTGAAATGAAATGCAGCATTAAATATGTATTTCATGTCAACCGTCAATAAATATAGGCATTTACATACATTCACGAGGGAACTTCACGATTCAGAGATGAGAGCTGCTCTGGCAAAAGTAGACCCGGCGCGGCAGAATTTTAGAAAAGAGACATAATTGAGAGGCGGCTGAGGTGCTCTGCTCACTTTGGGGGATCAGTGTGCGGGATACCTTGAGGATTCACGGCCCTGCAGGTTTTTATTCTAGCTGTTAAGTTCGTGGGTGAAAATGTTTTTCTTGTGACTGAAGGATGAAAAAGTGAACACAATCAGACCAACAAGTTAACACTTCAGTCTGGCTGTATTTTATTCATGCACGAAGGACAGATCTGGTGCAGGGTCTCTCACTGAGTAACAAAAGTTTGAATGCTTAGTGTTTTGCCGTCCGATGTGTGTGACTGATGTTGACTTAGTACAATCTCCAACAGATGTGCACACAAAAACATTCATAAATCTAACTGTCTGTCTAACTCTGTGTCAACACTGAAAGCTACTGGTAGCTGTGAGGCAGCCGGAAAATGACTGGTCTGTGAAGAGGGAGAGCGAAAGTAAAGCAAACCACGTCAGAAACTACAGAAATAAGAGATAAAAAATATCAAAGTATACTCAAAATGTGAATAATTTTGTTGAACATGAGAGGGTGGTTGATTGATTTGATGTGTTTGACGTGTGTAAAGCTGGATAGGGCAAATGAGAAATACAGCGGTGGGCGGAGAAGGAAAGAGCTTGTAGAAACTGTACTATATGACATAAAAGTTTGAAACTTGAGAGAAAAACATCTTCTTTATTCAGCTAAAGGAAATTGAAAACAGAAAATTGAGTTAAATAGAAGAATTAGATTTTAGTATTCCACAGGAGCGATCCCACAGGAACCGAAAGGCTCTTAAATTATATTACTTTCAGAAAAACATACATTTTCCTAGGACTGTGCTGAAAACAAGTCACACCTAATGATATAATAATAATAATAATAATAATAATAATGATAATAATCAGCAGTCATCAAATTCATCATAAAATTGTTGTAATCAAAGCAGTAATGATGTCGTTTTGGATAGCACAGCAGAGCAGCATTGGCATGCAGGCCTGGTCTTAGCTCTGGCATAAAATCAACAGTCTGTCTTCGTATATCCTGCCAGGCCCGGTACAATTGGCAGTAATTTCTCAGCAAGTCCAGGGCCGTAACTGTAAAGACCAAGGCCATCGATACTGGCACCCTGGGACTGAACGGTTACTGTAGCAGGACAATATGCATCGATAAAACATTGGCTCTGTATTGCCCTTTTAATGGTATGCGGAATGATTTTATGGCCCCCATACATTTTCTAACAGCCATTTTATGTAACATTTTTACATCTCCATTACACTGTCGTCCCCAGGCCAGACAGTGCTGGCTGTGCCGAGTAAAATGGCCCATAAAGTTTTCTCTGGGTAGAGACGGGGTGCCAGGGACACGGTGGCTAGAGAGACTCACAGAGGCAGATTCCCCTGTGTTTGACTTTGCATTGCAACCAAAACACCAAACTTCTAACACGTTCTTGCTTCATTCATTCAAAATTCATTCATTTTTCAGGCTCTGAAACAATATTCAGGGCATAAGGAAATCATTATACTCTTCACTGTTGCAAAACTGATGAAACCTTTCAGTTTTAACAACTGTTTGATCGCAGCGTGACTCCCCTGTTCAATGAAAAGTAAGAACTGGACCACTTAAATTGACCCCTGCATTTCCCCACAGGCAAAATAACACAGACCAACAACACCAGTGTAAATACATATCCTCAATTCTTACTCCGAGCATAAAGTGAGATTTACAGAGAGAAAAGGTTGGCCTGTTTCATGCATTTGTCTTTCCCTGATGTTTTTTTGGCTGAGGAACAGAGTATTTCCTCTCCTGCAGGTGTAGAACCGAGGTGTGTACATCAATGGCCATTGGCTGAAAGTCTTTGCGCTGTGTTCAAGTCCAACTTTTAACATTAGACGTGTCATTGACACTAATGGGGAAGGATTCACAGCTGACAGGATTTTCCATCACAAACAGGAATGTTCTTTGAGGACGTCTGGCACCACTCTAGCATCATCCTGGTGCTCTCTGTGCATATATGAGGCTGTACTTTCGTCACCAAATGGTACTGATTTGAATTTGTGGTTGTTTGTCAAAGACAATGAGGCAGTGTGGCCAACAAAGGGAAATTTGTATTTGTTCACATTGATGTGTCTTTATAACCTCCTTATTTCATTTTTATGTGAATCGCTGTTGGTCTGAGGCCCTTTTATTTTGTAGGGGCTATGGGGATGTACTTTACAGCGCAGGATATGAAGTGATATGAGGTCTTTGATTTGATTTGATTTGATTTATGTGCACAGATAAAACATTACAAATACATTATATATATGTTTTTCTATAAAGTGGATGTGCAGGTGAGGTAAGAAACCCGTCTAGGGTTTTATCGACATAATTTCAGCCATGTATGTCAGGGCTGTATATCTAAGTCTGTTTACTCCCTGACTGCTGAGACCTCTGTTGTACAGGACGGGCAGACGTACTGCAGGAGGAGACCCTGTGACTGCGGAGACCCAGACGAGGACCTGCTCTGCTGTCCCGGCTGTGACAACAGGCCCAGCAGCCAGTGTCTGGACCAGAGTGGACGTACGCTCTACCGCAGCGGAGCGTCCTGGCTGTACGGCTGCCAGCAGTGCCGCTGCATGGTTTGTACACAGACACACGCGTTCACACAAAGCTACATGTCTCTTAGCAGAAATGAAAGCTGACCTTCATCTTAATTCCCTTAGTGTGGTGAGACAGGTTCGTTAGAAGAAACTGATGACATAAAAGAAAACAAACAAAATCTCCTCATCAACATGAAGCTCAGAGCTGGGCTTTGTTTATTACCTGCCCCTGATCTGCCGCTCTGCTGTGTGTGTGTGTGTGTGTGTGTGTGTGTGTGTGTGTGTGTGTGTGTGTGTGTGTGTGTGTGTGTGTGTGTGTGTGTGTGTGTGTGTGTAGGACTTAGATAATTACCACCTCTCTAATTAGAGATGTGGCAACAAATCAGCATGTGAGCTGTAACTGCAGTTGCCAGATCAGCTGATTTACACACAAAAAACCAACACACCCAGTAACAGTTCTGTCACTTTCTTTTTTTTTTCTTCTCTTTTCCTCTCTCTGTGCCCCTGCAGGAGGGGGAGGTGGATTGCTGGCCTCTGGTTTGCCCCGTGCTGATGTGCGAGTACACGGCGGTGGCGGAGGGTGAGTGTTGCCCGCGCTGCGTCACAGACCCCTGCATGGCCGACAACCTGTCATATGACATCCGGCAGACGTGCGAGGACCCCGCAGGTGTCGCCCGCCTCAGTGGAGACACATGGCATATGCCCAACTCGCCCTGCACCACCTGCAAGTGTAAGGTAGGCCAAAGCAACAACAATCACTAAGAAGGTTTGCTTCACTGTGCAGCATCCATGTTGGATCTAACACCGGTGCGGCTGCTTAAGTGCTCAACCAAAAATTCACAAAATTATGAATCAGATTTTGTATTTAAATAAATAATTCATACTAAGCCTGTTTTTTGAGCTGCAATAGTGCTTTTACCAACTAGACCATTTTACATGTAGTTTTGGGATACAAAAATCTCATGCACTTACAGAGGCGTGATTCACTTCGTATTTATGTACGTTGAGGTGAAAACTGGGGGATAATGAGTTTAGCTAATGTGTGCTGGAGGATATGTATCGTCAGCTTGTCTGTCATCCAAGGTGAATGCAAAATATCTGTCACAGATGATGTAAGAGGCATTTAATCTTAAAAGAACAAAATATGTAAATCACTGTCAGGAACATGTCACCATTAACTCAGATCATCTACATACAGATACAGATACATACAGCAAGTGGTTATAGCTGCTGTGATTGGTTGGTCACTTCAAAAGCTTTGACTTAACGTAAAGGAGAAGGCTGGTTGGTGATAGTCTATACTTTTCTTATTGTTAACAAATCCCATGGAAGGACCAAAACCAACAGTGTGTTAGTCTGTGTCTGACTTCCATAACATGTCTGCGGAACTCACACATACACATTTCCCCAGTGGCACAGGCAGCAAGTCACCTTCTCTGGGGATACACAGGTCAAGGGTTTTATATAATTTTATAAATTCGTGCATATTATGTATAATATTATGCAAATGCTTGCAAGCTGCTTGGAGCCAGATAATTGCCGCTTGTGGTTTTATTTATCTCACTTGTATGTCGTTTTGGATAAAAGTAAATGTAAATATTCTTTTTCCTTTTTTTAAAAAGGCTGATTTTTCAGGGATCTGTGGAAGGAAACGTTACTCAAACTAGAATTAACTAGAATGAATTCTTCATTTTGGACAATGGTTTTGGCACAGAGGAATAACATCAGTCTTTGGATACAAAGACAGTACTTGAGAATGTGATCAGTTCAGTGTTGATTGAGTCTTGTTGTCGGAATAGTAGACAATAAGAAAAGTGCAGAATATCAACAGGCTTATCCTTTAACCGTGCATGTGCCATTACATGTCACAGCTGTAAGGACAATATGAGCCTGTCCCATGTCAGAGAGCACAGGTCCTATCAGCCTGGTCAGTAATCCATCCTCGTTCCCGTTGACCAAAGACGTATCGAGCCCTTCAGACAGTTTATACTCTGGTTTCTGAAAGCCTTTCTATAGGGACTATTTTTCAGTGGAAAGTAGTTCCAGTGGAAAGTGTGACACTGTCACAGTGAAGTCTGCTGATTACCCTGAGTAACTGGGACACTTGTCTGTGGGAAGACATATTGCCGTTCAATTTCTCAAATTTGTCACCGCTTGGAGCCACACATCCTAAATTCTGTTCACTTCCAATGTACTAGAGTGGCAGCATAAATCTCAGAGATGGATATCTCAGAAGCATAGCAGATAGTCCTGAGAATGAATGACTAGCGGTAGGGCAGTATGTTCTGTTGTAATTTGTGTAAAGTGACCCTACACTGATATTGCAGAGATGGTGTTAACATCGTGTTCAGTTCCCTCTACATTGAGGCTCTGTAGTTTGAGTGATTATGGTCAGCCAGGCTCCGACTGCTGTTGTTACAGTCAACGTGTACAGCATATTATAATACACTACAGTATACTTAACACTCTATATCTCTTCTTTCCTGTCCTTTCATGCTCAGAACGGGAATGTTTGCTGCTCGGTGGATCTCGACTGCCTTCAGAACAACTAAAGCTCTCTTCCTCCTGTCCTCCTTCTCCGACTGTCCTGCTCTCTCACTACGGGACTGCCACACCCTCCCCTCCTTCATCTGACGACTCTCCCCTCAGATTCATAAGACAGACTCACGCACACACGTGCATGCCAGTGTGTGCACAGAAAAATACAAACACGCACTGGACAGACTGGGGTGTTGGAGGCTGTGTTTCTATGCTATAACTGTCAACAAACAGTGAGTGTGTGTGTGTGTGTGTGTGTTTGTGGCTCAGGAGGAGACTGAGGCAATAGTCGCTCTCACAACAGTCACTGTGTTGTGGATGTGTCTTTGTGTTGTTTCCATTTCACTACATGTCTTGTGGAAACCTGTTTAGCGTTGCGTGTCAAACTGAAAACCAGAGACAGACAAGCAACTGAGCGTTATGAGTCGTCGTTAGGGATTCACAGCTGGACAGATGTTGTGGCGCTCCACTGTGTCTGTGGAAAACAGGTGAAATATCAAATAAAATAACCTTAACCTTATTTAAGGTTAATAGATTTAGATTTAGTTATATCAGTGCACCTATAGATTTGTGGTTCTGTGGCCAAATGTGCAAAAGTATAAAACAAATCAGTGCAAACAGTGCATAACTTCTCTTTACATACAGTTTAAATGTTTTATATGTCATCGCTCTTTGCTCCCAATTCAGAAACTGCATCGTGTGATGTCCATGTTTCTAGATACGTCTAATATGTCATAATAAGAAAGCATGTCCTATTCTAACAGATCTTCCTTTTTGGACCAGTATTTTTTGGACCATCAAACAGCATCTGAAATCCCCTCTCGGCCTTTGATTGAACAATTTTTTTAGCTTTCCAAAACAGAGAAAAATCTGACAAGCTCACCCACTTCAAGCAGTGATTGGTTAGGTGTGAGGAAGTGAAAGCACGCGGGGCCTGAACTTCTCTCTCAAGCTAGGCCCCCGCTTTTGACTGTGGTTCAGAGGAGGTGTAAACACCGCCTTTAGATGCAGCTAGATGACACTTACGGCAAAGCAGTTCACTTCAAGTGTACCACAGTCTTCTGTCTTCGGCTCCTTTTAAATCACCCACCTTCATGAGCCGAATCCTTGGGAGGATCCGGGCTCTAAATCGGGACCTATCTGTTGTCTGCCCTGCTGAGCCATTAACACTTCTGTTTCCCAACACTTTCCCTCAGCCTCAGTGTCTCCTCTCTGTTGATGTTGACTGCCAGATAGTTATGAATAACAACAATAGTCATGATATTAAAAGCTTGTGAAAGCAGCGTGAAGGTGCACAGCAGCACCCTGCGGGCCACAACAAGCATCAGTCATAGCTGTTGATTAAATCAGCACAGCTTGTGGCAGGGTGGACTCATGTGGCACCTCCCAGGGCTCCTCAGCTCTCAACCATATGGCACGCACAGAGTGTGGCGGAGAGACATGAAAAAATGTGGATAATTAAAGCCATGTCACACAGGCCTGGATTTGAGTATTCCAGGAGGTCACAGAGTGTTGAATCTGCTTACAGGCGGCCAGGCTTACGAAGGCAGGAGAAGTCTGGTGCTTTTCCTGCTGCAGTTCATACTTTCACAGCTCTGACGTGATCTGCCCTCCTGCTCCGTCCTCTCCTTCACACCTCGCTCCATTATCCACAAGCTTGTCTTGAGAGCGCTAACGTTTCCCTCAAGTATCGTTATCACCCCGTGTGTCCATCACTGTTCATTTTCTTTTTTGTCCCCCTAAAAGAAACCAGAGGGAAACTCCAGCATGTTCTGAAAATTTTTCGCAGTGAACTATGTGCTTTGTCCGTGAAATGATTGTCTGATAACAGCAAAAACTCGCCAGGTTCACCTTTGGGTAAGGGGAAAAAGTTATTCAGTAAACTTTTGTTATAAAACCCACTCAACAATCAGTTAATTTGAAGCAGGTAAAATAATTTGTCTAGAAGTTTAATTTTCAAAGCTGGTTCAAACAGGTAAGGTCCGCGCTCTACGCTTTCTTCTTCCTCTTTGGTTTTTCTTCACCGTCAGCATAGTTGCAGATATCAGGACTCATCTTCCCTCTTCAAAAGAATCCATTTGCTTCCTCAGATTGAGATAATCCTTCACAGTGAAAGTAAAACCTTCATTTGTTTTTTTTTTATGTGAAGTGAAGTAACTTAGATGGAGCTCTAAAAGTTGTGGTGTTCTCCATCAGAGGTCACATTGGAACTCTACAGCTTAGTCCAAACTATGGCTTTCTGCGATTTTCCTGTCCCAGAGAAATACTTGAGGTCCGAAACAAAAAAATCATTGACTCTTTGTCGTGAGCAATCCCACCCGCTACAACATATTTCATATCAAACAAGATGCACTTTGGAGACAAGTCGGATGCAGGAGATGAACAGTATCCAATGAGAGCACACCTTACATCTGAGGGCAGGAAATGAGGGACGCAGTGGACTCGTCTATGGAGTCACAGCTCGTGTGTTTTTGTTCAATATCACGATCATTCGCTCCAGTTGAGGTTCAGTCCAAAAATGACAACAGTCTGTAAAATGTCTTGTATCGAGAGAATTACAGCAGTCCTGAGATTTTGGGAGTGTTGTAGTCTGAGCTAGCGATAATATATATAGTATATAATAGTAATATATTTGGAACCACCGTTGGGGTGACCTCCACCATTTCCCTCCTGCTGACCATTATTTAATGTGAAAGTAGTTCTTGTTTCCGGTCATTTTTCTGATCCCTCACACAAACAGTTCCGAAAGATATTTTTCTACTGAAAGCGCATTGTTTGGATTCCAAAGCTTGGTGGTCATTTCACTGACTTTTGGGAAAGGTGATGCTGGTCGTTGTCAGGAGGGAAGGGGCGGTGGCGTGCAGCGAGGTGTGCCGCCGCTCTGACCTCTCAGCCACGTTGTCCTTGTGTCGTCTTTGGTCACCACTACATCTGTTTGTGTCTCATCTGAGCATCCTCCATTATCCCAATGCCTCTTGCAAAACTAAAACTGTCAACTGTGCACAAAGTACGCACACACACACACACACACAAACACACAGAAAAAAAGTGATGTAAATGGTATCTGTACCCATTGAAGTTGAACACAGCAATCGAAAGCAGACGTTTGTACAAAAGATTGCTATGTTGATTAATTTGATATGAAATATAATGACTACTGTAAAACACTATTTGCAAGTCTGTGTGTAAATGTTTTTACATACTGACGATATGATAAAAATTATACAGTTTTTTAATTATCATTGTGTTCATGAATAATGTGTTAATTTTAGTGGACTACTTTTCTTTTTGTGAGACAGGTTCTGTTTTGCTGTAAATACTGTGTAAAGTGAAGGGGTCTGTAAAGAGAGTAAGACTATGTGAATAATTCTCACTAACACAGCTTCTTAGGATCTGAACGTTGTACGGCGAGTATGAGAGAGATGCAACATTTCTATTGTTTTTACTATTTCTTTATTTTTCTATTCTTGCCTTAACCCTTTTAGTATCTGTCATAGTTTAATGTCTTTTCACTGTTTTAGGGCAGCATTATGGGTTTGATTAGCCTGTGTGTATGTACAGATCTCTGATCAGTGTCCCTCACTAAAAGCGTCAACAGAAGTGGACTTTGGAAATCAGACTGAGCGCAGTCTGAGCTCGGACAGGAGCTTGGACGGACTGTTCACCGCACCGACAAGCCATTTTTTTTTCTTCAACACACGTCTGTATGAACTGAAAATTCTCTTCACAAGAAACAGACATAATAGAACTATGTACACATGTAAAAAAAAAAAAAAAAAAAATCTAATGTTCAAAATGACAATGTTATTCTTGATTCAGTTCCTACTAAAATAGCAAGCGACTGTGTTTCTCCTTTAATGTCTGACTTTTTAAAAAGCAGCAGTTTTGGACCTTCTAGATCCTGATGTGCTTGTTCATGTTTTTGATAGAGGACCGCGGCGGATGAATCCCTCCCAGGTCTGTTCATTGTTACTTCTCCAGATCACAGTGGCCAACCTAATTGTACTCAAAGGGTTAAGTGTCATTTGACTTGAAGACTGTGTCGTGATAAGAGTTTGCTGTAAAAAAAATTCTTCAGTTAATAAATATTTTAGTTGTTTACTTTATTTTGCTGTGAGTTTTTTTACTTTAAAATGTGACGGAAGGCGGTTTGACTTTTAAGTTCGCTGGTAGACAAGTCGCGCTCTCAGGGTTAAGGCACAAATTGAGGATGCCCAAACTGCTCATACCACCCATTGGCGACTTAAACGAAAGCAATGTTTCCAAGCCTGAGAAATGAAAGTCAGGATACCGTGCTGGAGAAGTCTTTCATGTTCCTTTTTTTTATCAATACTGCTGTTTTCCATTTCCCTCAGGAAATGTGTGAAAGGAGGTGTTGCAGTAAAGATAAGTAGCCTACATGCTTTTGATGCTTTAATGGAGCACTGCTGTGCCACTGACAGGAGCAACAACACTTTTGAAGCTACATTGTGTGGAGAAAAAATAGTGAAAGGTGCACAATGTGGAACGTAATGTTTTATATTTTCCTGCATATGGAGGTAGATTTGTTTCAATAGCCATTTATTTGTGTGAACAGATCGACAATCCATGCATAAATGTGTAATCTGTAAATATACAACACCTTCCACAAATACAAAAAAAATAGATTTGCAAATTGACATAAATACTTTACAAATATAAAAATTATTTACAGATTCCACTAGTTAAAAAAAATGTCTGAATACTTTCAATTAATTTACAAATGAATAAAGTATTAGTGGGTCTCAAGTCTATGCTTGTGGATTTCAAAATTACACACACACACAGTTTGAAAGTTTTGGACAGTTTTCCGCCAGTCACTCGGCCACTTTCGGGAAAAACACGTGTCCACCTGCAGACGTTGCCATTTCAGCTTTTCAAAGTAAGAGCACATAGTCTATGTTTTTTTCCCCCTAAATAATCGGCGACAAGTAACGTGCACTACGTTAACGGGTGAAAGATATGAAGTGACAGGACCCTGGTTAAGGTAAGGTAGGTTGCAATTGTATTTCCTATACTATTGTTATTGTGTTAATATGTGGGCTAAACTAACATTAACTACTACTACTACTACTAAACCGGCACCTGTTGCAGTGGCGACAGTAAACATTCATGATGCGGACTGAGGGAATGAAAGCAGGGGGCTGGATTTTATACACTGTGATGATCATGAGGATACATTTGAAATAGGCCACATTTCATACCCATCCAACCTGTAAAAAGATGATTGGCCCAAGGCAAAAGCAAACTAAGCGGCCTTACCATACTATGACATTTTAATACCTTAGTATACAATGATGTTTTTATACCTTACTATACTATGATTTTGTAATAGGTCGGTACGGCAGGATAGTGGCTAGAGGTTCTTCCCCACCTTTCTGTGTGGAGCTTGCATGTTCTCCCTGTGGCTGTGTGGGTTCTTTTTGTATAAATATGACTTTTTTTGTTGTTAACATTTTTATGCCTTACTATATACTATGACTTTTTGTGCCTGACTATACTATGAAGTTTTTATTTCTTACTATACTATGACCTTTTTATGTCTTACTATACTATGACCTACTATAGTATGACGGTTCATTCCTTACTAGACAATGACTTTTTTATGCCTTATTATACTTTACACAACAGTTAGTTCCGACGAAGTCATTTGATTGGACGAGAGACATTCCATGAGTGCTGATATAGAGTATAACAACCTTGGGACTTTTAACTACATGTATTACTCCGATTTACAGGTGTTCTATTAATGGTAGCGTTACATTAACTGTCGTTATCTATCTAGGTTTATAAGAACTTTTCACCCCAAAAATGAATATATTTCCACAAATAGCTTTTTGATTATGTTATGTATGCCTGTCAGAAAAAGGATGAAGGGAAGAAGCCTGAATACTTGCATGCTATGACGTTGCTTTATTATGACGTTTTTTGTAATTTTTATGCCTTACTATGACCTTTTTTAACGTTTTTATGTCTTACTATACTATGACCTTTTATGCTTTACTATACTATGACGTTTTTTGACATTTTTGTGTCTTACTATACTATGTTTTATGCCTAACTATGCTATGAAGTTTTTTTTTCATTTTTATGCCTTATTATACAGTGCCTTTTTAATGCCTTACTATACTGTGACATTTTTTGTCATTTTTATCTCTTATTATACTATGATGCCTTATGCCTTACTATATTATGAATTTTAATGCCTTACTATACTATGACATTTTTGGCATTTTTTGTCTTACTATACTATTAAGTTTTTGCCTTACTATACTATGACCTTTTTTTTCGTTTCATGCCCAACTTTACTGTGACTGTCTTTTGATGTTTTTATGCCTTGCTTTACTATGACCTTTTTTGACATTTTAATGCCTTACTATACTGTGATGTTTTTGATGTTTTATGCCTTATTATACTATGCTGTTTTTTGACATTTTTTATTTCTTACTATACTATGACATTTTTATGCCTTACTATGCTTTTTTCATTTTTATGCCTTATTATACAGTGCCTTTTTAATGCCTTACTATACTGTGACATTTTTTGTCATTTTTATCTCTTATTATACTATGATTCCTTATGCCTTACTATATTATGAATTTTAATGCCTTACTATACTATGACATTTTTTGACATTTTTATGCCTTACTATACCATGACGTTTTTGACATTTTTTGTCTTACTATACTATTAAGTTTTTGCCTTACTATACTATGACCTTTTTTGGCATTTATGTGTCTTACTATACTATGACGTTTTTTTTCGTTTCATGCCCAACTTTACTGTGACGTCTTTTGACGTTTTTATGCCTTACTTTACTATGACCTTTTTATACATTTTAATGCCTTCCTATACTATGATGTTTTTTGACGTTTTATGCCTTATTATACTATGCTGTTTTTTGACATTTTTTATGTCTTACTATACTATGACATTTTTATGCCTTACTATACTTTTTTCATTTTTATGCCTTTTTAAACAGTGACATTTTTTGTCATTTTTATCTCTTACTATACCATGACATTTTTGGCATTTTTATCTCTTACTATACTGTGATGTTTTATGCCTTACTATACTATTAAGTTTAATGCCTTACTATACTATGACGTTTTTTGAAATTTTTTGTCTCACTATACTATGACGGGTTTATGCCTTACTACATTATGACATTATTGTTCCTTACTATACTATGATTTTTTTTTACATTTTTATGCCTTATTATACTATGACATTTTTAGATATTTTTATGCCTTATTATACTATGACATTTTTAGATATTTTTATGCCTTATTATACTATGACTTTTTTGCTATTTCATGCCTTTACTATACTTATGACGTTTTTATGACTTTTTATGCCTTACTGTACTATGACTTTCATGCCTTACTATACTATTACTTTTCATGCCTTAATATACAATGACATTTTTATGACTTTTTTATGCCTTACTATACTATGAAAGTTTTTTTTTTACATTTTTATGGCCTTATTATTACTATGACATTTTTAGATATTTTTATGCCTTACTATGCATGACTTTTTATGCTTACTATACTATACCTTTTTTATGACTTTTCATGCCTTACTATAACTATGACGTTTTTTTGACTTTTTATTAGCCTTACTTTTTTATGCCTTACTATACTATGAATTTTTTTTATGACTTTTTATGCCTTACTATACCTATGACTTTTCATGCCTTACTTAATACAATGACATTTTTATGACTTTTTATGGCCTTACTATACTATGACTTTTTAGACTTATTTATGCCTTACTATACTATGACTTTTTTTATGACTTTTTATGCCTTACTATACTTGATGATTTTTTATGACTTTTTATGGCCCTTAAACTATACTGTGACGTTTTATATGGACTATTATGCCTTACTATACGCTATGCACTTTTTTGACTTTATGCCCTTACTATACTATGACTTTTTTATGACTTTTATATTGCCGCTTACGTATACTGTGACTTTTATATCTTTTATGCCTTACTTTTAACTATGACTTTTCATGCGGCTTGTTACTATACTATGACTTTTCACTGCCTTACTATAATATGACTTCTTTATGACTTTATGCCTTACATTACTATGACCGTTTTTATGACTTTTTATTGGCCTTACTATACTGTGACATTTTGATGACTTTTTTATTGCCTTAACTCGTAGTACTATGACTTGTTTATCGTCTTACCTTTACTATGACTTTTCATGTCGTATCTATACTATGACTTTTTTTATGACTTTTCATGCCTTACTATACTATGACGTTTTTTATGGACTTTTATGCCTTACTATTTCTATGCCTTACTATACTCATGACTTTTTTATGACCTTTTCCATTGCCTTACTATACTTATGACTTTTTTTCATGACTTTTTATGCCTTACTTATACTATGACTTTTTCTATGACTTTTTATGCACTTACGTATACTATATGTTTTTATGACTTTTTTATGCGCTTACCTATACTGTTGAATTTTTTATGACTTTTTATGCCTTACTATACTATGACAATTTTTATGACTTTTTAAACCTTTACATATACTGTGACATCTCTCTCTG